TTGTAAGAGGTTATAAATTCGAGTTGAATTATACATTTTCGTAGGTTATGGATAGAAAGTTATGTTATTATTGTTATACATGTATCATCTAATTAATAAAATATATGCATTTCTACTAAAAATACATTAATTAGAGCTCATTATAAAATAGACATGTTTGTACTAAAGAACAATGTATATCAACCACTTCTTCATTTTATGAAGAGTATAATGATGTATTGGTTAATTTCTTTTTAGTTTAACTTTTGAAGAAAAAAAATTAATTGTAATCAATTATTTTACATGGTCTAAGATCAAGAGAATTTGGATTGTTTAAAACCTTGTCCTCTCTTACATATTATACTCAATCGTTGTTTTCTTCATATGATTGGAACTTTAAGTTGCACTCATCAATATTTAATCATCCTGTGGCTTCTCGCTTATTTTCTAGCTTTAATATCTTTTCGAGTCTTAATCAGTGTACTAAGTTTAAGAATCTCTCTTACATGTGAAAAGACAAGTTGAGATAATTTATTTTTATAATCAATTATTTTACGCTATTATATTGTAGAATTTCAAAGTAATTAGCTTCTCTAGAATCAATTCTCAAAATATTGATGTCTCATGTTAGGTTGCCCTTCCATATATTGTTAGGTATTTTGTTATTGTAATCACAAATTTAATATCATAAAAGAGCTTAGTTACATCCTCCTATATATGGTTAAGAAAATATGTAAGTGGTTTTCTTTATTTATAATGTTTGAGATATTATTATTATTATTATTATAACTATATATTATATTGATGCGGGAGTAGTAATTTATTACTCTTTTAAACTCTATGATTATGTTTGCTATATTAGATTGGATAGAGCAAGATAGAACACAATGTGGTAAGGTTTATTATCCTACTATACCTAATATTTAGAAGTAAATTTTTTACAGATAAAATAAGTTAACAAGAGTTAGAAAATTATTAATATTTTGAAAGGATTACAATGAATATACCTAAACTTTTTATTTCAATATATATACCTCCCGGTAAGAATGCCAAAATCCTCACTCCATTACTCCCCTTATTACAACCATTGTCACTATTACCATCACCACTCCCGTTTTGATACTTTTGTAGTTATCGAGCACGACTAACATACTCTCATCGTCATTGCCTTCGCAAACATCCTCCTTGTTATCGTGGTTACCATTACTATTGTTGTCGTAATCATTATAATTATTATATAACTTCGGAACTTTTTACTCAATTATTTGTTATCATTACTAATGTTATCACTATTATTTTTGTGATGGTTAACCATTATCGTCGCAACTCTACATGCAACTGCACACACTGGCACCACCTTTGATTAGCAAAAAGTGATTAACAATAGAATAGAGTTTTAAATTTAAAATACATATTAAGAAGATGAATAATTAAAATGTTATTTAAAATTTTTAAAAATAATTTATAAGAAAAGGAGCTTAAATCCTGTCCATTCAATTTCACGGACTTGATCCAAATTGGATCTTACTGGGCCGCTCCTAAAATTATAGGAGAGAGCTGTCTGGTGTTTTTTTTTATTATTTATTAAAAAAGTAATAATAAATTTGGGGTTACACGTGGATAGAAAAAAGAAAGATTCGCCGGATCAGACGACTCAGAGAAGACGTCACAAGTCCCAAGACAGACTGTGGGCCCCACTCTGCACAGCCAATGAATGTCTCACTCATCACATTAAACCCACTAATCACTTCATTAATCACACTAACCACCCTACGTTAATCTCCTTGTCTTCTCCTTCTCCTTTTTCTTCTTCTTCTTCTTCGTCTTGTTCCTTCTTCTGCTGATTATTATAATTATTATTACAAAAACCTTCTACTCGTTTTCACTGTTCTTTTTTTTTTTTTTGTCTTTTCCTCAGTTACCCGCACTAATTCCTGTAACCAAACACGCCCTGACAATACAACAAATCTGTCTCTCTCTCTCTCTCTCTCTCTCTCTCTCTCTCTCTCTCTATTTCTCTCTTTCTCTGTCTCTCTCTTCGCTCCGGTTTACAGCTCACAACTAGACAGTACTGCTATCATTTTAGTACTTTCGTCTTTATTCAGCTATTACTACAGTTGTCACAAGATACGACGTCGTATCTTTCGGGGGCTACACACGGATATACTTGCTTCTTCTTCTTCTTCTCTCTCGTTGTTTCCATTTTCTGTTTACCAAACACCGACTTCTCTCTGCTTATCCACTGCTTCCTCTTCCGCATTGAGGGTCAAAGCTTACGGTTTGCTCGCTGGGCTCTTTCTTTTAGTTTTGTTTTGTACTGTTTCTGAGAGTTGGGTGAGTTTCTTCTTTGTTTGGATTTGATCTTGTGGAAGATAATGTAGGTTTCTTTTGTGGATATTTTTAGGGTTCGGTGTTGAAGGTAGTTCTGAGTGGAGAAAAAAAATGTTTACTTTCACTCGGAGACGCATGAAACTTGGCAGGTACTAACTTTTTGCTTTTTGCTTTTTGCCTTTCTGCTATCTTTTATTTTTTTAAAAAAATTCCTGTTTGTGATTTCCATTTTTTGAAATCTCTACACTGTTTTGGTCCAATGCAGAAATTTTAAACAAGAATTGACGCTTGTAATTGTTGAAATACTAACCATTTATCCCCCAAAATCAGAACCTTTTGTTCACTCATTTTACTATATTGCATTTGCATGTGAAATCTTTGAGCAAATAGTCAATCTTTGTCAAATTTGAAACATAGATTTGTATGCCATTTGGCTATTAATTGAAGAGTAAATTGATATTTTCCTATTTTCTCTTTTTTATGATTGCTGTTGTGCCTCAGAGTAAAAAAGGTCCAGCTTTCGGATTTTGCTCATGGGATGAGAAGTCCCTTAAGACCAACAAAACGTCTTAACAATCTCAACGTGAGACTTTTTAATTTGCTTGTTTATGGTGCATTAGTGGGTATGAACACAGTGTGCTTAATATTCTTCCATGGTATGCAGTCCGAAGGTGCCGTGCCTGCTAATAGTCAGTCTGATGAAAACGATTACCAGTGTTCTTCTGCTGCACCTGAGATTAGTAACTGTACATCAGGGAACTCCGAGAATTGGATGGTATTGTCGGTATCTGGGGACAAACCAACACCTCGTTTCAATGTATGTTTTGATAGATCTTTTATTCTAAAGTTTGACATATTAGATGCAATTTAAGTTAGAGTTGTGAAGCTGTTGTGACACAATATAGAACTTTTGTCTCCTTTTCTGTATAGCATGCAGCAGCTGTCATCGGGAACAAGATGGTTGTGGTTGGTGGTGAATCTGGGACGGGATTGTTAGATGATGTACAGGTAAAAAGTTATCTAATCATGCAACTACGAGGGAACTGTTTGTCTATATATATTAATGATAACAGTGATTCTAAATTGTTTTTCAAGTGATTCTATCTGGGCGGATATCATAAACGGTTGCCTTTCCCTTTATGTCTTTTTTTTTTGGGTCAGGTGCTTAATTTCGATAATTTCATGTGGACGACAGCTTCATCAAAACTTTACTTGTCGCCAAGTAGTTTGCCGCTAAAGATCCCTGCATGGAAGGGCCACTGTCTGGTATTATCATATATCTATAGTACTCAGATGTCATTCAGTCTTTTTTCTTGTCTTCTATTAAATCTCATTGCCGATCTACTACTTTATGTCTGCTATCTGCTGGTGGAGTGCTGTTATCTTCTGCTGTTCATGGGATGTTATATCAATTTATGCATTAAGATGAACAGAAAACTCAGGATGAGAGTGGAAGGGTAACTTTGCATCTAGATAGAAAGGCTTTTACTTCCCAAGGATGATCTCATGACTGTAAAGCTATAATAGCTTATAACAGAGAAACAAAATGTCTTTGCAACTTCCACATAGTCGCAAAAGATGCCTCTCCCGGATAGATTACAAATAGAACAATAGGAATGTCCTTTGCAAATTTTCATTTGTAAATTCATTTGCTAAGAAGTAATTGTGAAACAAAAAATTCCCAGTAAAAATGTCTTAACTTCGACAATATCCAAGGGATTATAGAGTCCATGTGACAGTAACTAGTTATTGCTTTCTTGTATCTCCTTTGGTCATTGGTCATAGACCTGTTAACACTAGTTTTTCTTTTCTTTTTTATTCTCCTTAATAAGTTACGATCTATAGCAGGCAGGCTGCAAGAACGTCGAAACTAATGATCAAACAATATTCTTTCTGTTTTTTGTCTTGTCTAGGTTTCTTGGGGGAAAAAGATGCTTCTAGTTGGAGGAAAAACAGATCCTGCTAGTGACAGAGTTTCAGGTATCTCTTCAGTAAAACCGAATGTTCTGTGATTTGTATTCTTGACATGGCACTAAATTGCTTCACTTTTCATTTTTGTTATTTGTAGTATGGGCATTTGACACGGAAACTGAATGTTGGTCACTTTTGGAAGCAAAGGGAGACATACCGGTACTCTTTCTGACCTATTAGTGCCAGAAACTCATTATTTTTTTTTTTGTACCATTACTTGCATAGCAAACATAATGATGATCATGCATTAAATACAAAGATTTAATTTTTTTTTAAATCTGAATTGGACAAAATTTTCTTGATGAGATCTTTTTTAAATCTTCATTAAGAAAAGACCTTTTTCTTTTTTTTTTTTCTTTTTTCTGTGTCATTTCATCTGTTTGATTTAGTTCCATTGTGCCTAGTTCTAGAATTCAATGCATACTTTGTGGGTGTTTATCATGTAAAGATACCAAATTTAACCTAATATGTTATGCATTACAGGTTGCTCGCAGTGGTCACACTGTGGTTAGAGCAAACTCAGTCTTAATCCTTTTTGGGGGAGAAGATGCCAAAAAGAAGAAACTAAATGACCTACATATGTTTGATCTGAAGTCTTTAACATGGCTTCCTCTTCATTGCACGTGAGTTGGTTTTGATATAATATGTAA